TATCATTAATTTGCATACAATTAAATACACATACAAATAAATACAAGTAAAACAGGAAATCTAAGTAAGATAGGCAGCTTGTATTAAAGATGGAGACATCCTAGCTGTAGTATTATACCACAAATGTGCAAGATGTTACCACTGGGAGAAACTAGGTAAAGGGGACATGAGATCTCTCTGTATTATTTTTACGACAGCATGCAAACCTACGATCATCCCAAAATAAAAACTTCAATTAAAAAAGAAAACCTTTTTCCATTTTAGACCTTTTACTTGGAATGGCCTGTCCCCCACTCGGTATGAATGGTGTAATGTTTTGCTGTAATGATTTAAAAGATCCAGTTAATAAGTAAATAGGGCAAAAAGTTAATTTCCCAAAGCAATAAAATTTAGGAGAAAAATAGTTTGCTTTAAAAAGGGACATAGCCAAAAAAAAATGAACTGAACTAAAAAAAAAAAAAAAAAAAGGACCTGAGAGCATTCTCACCATCATTTAAGTATCTGACTGGTTGTCAATAGACTCAGTCATTTGTAGAGCATTTCACATAACATTTCATGGTTCTCCGTCTACTATCTACCAGACTGTGTGTGCTGTCAGTCAGTCCAGGTATTCTGCCTAAGCCAGTAACAGCAGAACTGTTATTCCCCAATGATGATTTCTACTCAAAAGATTGAACATGAGAGATTCGTTCGTATCTTAAGAGGCAGATCTTGGACTCTAAAACTGAAACAGCATTAATAAAAAGAGATGACCAGTACAGAACCCTAGAGTAAATCTTTTTCTACACATGGCAAAGTGCCACTGACTCAAAATAAATAATATAAGACCATTTTTCAACTAAAATGATCTCCCTTTCCTCAGCACAACCCAAGGTCTAACATCGCCCCTCTAAAACACTGACTAAAAGCTACTGTCTTCTGAGGCAAGTGTCCATAGGCTGATAATCTATACTGTCACTTTGTAAAGGTACAAAATGGAAGTTAGGGCATTACTTGTGCTCTATGAATCTATACTATCTTAAACTTTCATATCTTACATTTAGTTTTTTATTTCTCTCCTTTTAGCTACCTCCTCATTCCTGTTGTTTCCTACACATAAAACTGTACTTTTAAAATGCATCTCTGTGGCTATGCCACCCTGAAAGGGCCTGATCTTGTCTGATCTCAGAAGTTAAGCAGGGTCAGGCCTGGCTAGTACTTGGATGGGAGATCACCTAGGAATACCAGGTGCTGTAGGCGTTATAAAATAAATAAAAAAAATAAAATGCATCTCAGGTCTTATGTCAAGTAGACAATCACATTTTAATCTTTCAGCAAACTAAAACATATACTAAAATGTCTTGCCTAAGTTCATTCCTTCTGTAAACTGATTACCAGGATTGTTTTACAAATTTTTCAATTCTCCAAGTTGAAAGCTTGTGTTTAAAAAGGAAAATACAAAATGCTGTTACCATTTAACGAAATACTAACTGCACAGTTGAAAAGAATAAGTGAGATCTATATGCATAAGCAATAAATGAAAAAAAAAACACATACAGCATGTATATTTATGTAAATAAAAACAAAAGCATGTAACTTTGCTTTACATGTACACATATATTTGCAATTTTAAAAAAATCTGGAAGACCCAGACAGCAAACCGATTTTTATAGTGGTTATGTAGGGCCAGGGAACACTCATCTTGTATATACTATAAGTCTTTAAGGTATTCTATTTTTACACATTGAGAACACATATTCATATTATCATTTCTGTAATTATTTTTTAAAAAGACGTGGACTCATGAATTTTAAGCTACCTCAGTAAAACTTACCAACATCTTGAACATCAAGAATTATCTATGTTTAGGCTAAAATTAACTCATGTGTAGGAATTTTCATTGGACATCTATGAATATTCTAAATTTTAAGGCAGATAATATCGTGCTATGTGACACTTGTTTAAACCGCTGTTTAACAATTGTGATGTCAATTCCTCAAAACAGAAACCCAAGGGCAAGAGTTGACTCTAGACTAATGAAGAGAATGAGAAGTTCAAAAAAAGATGAAATCATCCCACTTTCTTCCAAAGGATGCCCTTGCCACATTTCTTTAAATACTGGTGTTAAAACCACATAGAAACAGGTAAAAAATTGCTGGAGTAAGGTAGGACTTCTGGATCTTAGAGTCCTTCAGCCTCTCACTTACCAACCATTTCCCATATATCTTTCTAGCTCCTTTACAAAACAAAAAATTTCTCTAAGAATTTCTACCCAAAGAGTTGCGTTAGGCCCTAAACTGTGTCTCGAAAGCAGTTTCCTGTCCTCCAGATTACTGACCAAATTAAACCAAACTCGGTAACGGTGCAAAATTACTAAAAGTATGTTTGGCAACTCTTCTTCCCTCAAAGTAAAATACAGTTAGTAAAAGTATTTACTATAGCTACAAAAAGGACTCTGTGTTTTGAGGATAAGTTGCTGTAAAATTTTGGGTCACATAAATGGTTCAGAGAAAGAAATTATTTAAAAAACATTACCTATACCCCAGAGTGTCTATATGTTCGAAATATAATGTAGACTATGTTAAGTCAGAATAGCCAATGAAACTAAAAATCTCTGACGTTATTGCTAGTTTCTATCTTCCCACACAAACCCTTAAGTGGCAAGATGCTTGTTATATTATATGCCGGAAATGTACAGGACAAGCCACTGTGGTAGCACTGAGTTCTAAATAATCAAGGAAACATTTTTACATTCAGTAGCGCAATTAAGGCCCAAAGTGGGCAGAAAGTTATGAAATCTGACCATGTTCTCACCCTGCCTATCAGAAGAAGAATCAAAATATGGATACAAAAACCATAACCTACCTGTACTTTAATTCCTGTTCACAGGGGGATCCATTTCTGTAGTTACAATGTAGATGAATGTCAACCTCAGAGGGCACCTTGGTTTGTTTACAAAGATTATAATGACATATTTTTATAGGAAACTTATCCTTAAAAACAAAAATGTACTAAGCTTATAGATCTGCTGAGAATCCTATGCAAACTTTAAAATGTATTATTCACTGTTAATCATTAAACTATTTCTTAAACCAACTCTTCCTTGACTAGGCCACTAGAGAGTGCTAGAAACTATGCAATTACACAGGACTCAAACTGATAATGAGAAAATGATTCCTTTAAAATTCAGAGACTAACAGATGAAGGACATTAGGATTCATGGTTGGTATACTACCAAAAGGTACTGAAACACTGACAGACCTAAATTTTGAAAGAAATATTTATCATTACCTCTTCTCTCTTTATATAGCTCAAGTTGTTTCTTCAACAGCTTCCAAACCAAGCAACTGTCATTAAAAGACTATCCAAGTCATACATAATCCCCGCCCCCTTCAAAAAAAAAAAAAAGGTGATTTTCTTTAGGAAATTAGACAAAGTTAAGGGTGGGTTAAATTTAACTTTGTTGAAAATTACAGGGGAGGGGGTCGAGGGAGGGAAGGAGAGTGTGAAGAAAGAAGAAAAGAGCAGCTGGATTCTCTACTTTAATCCAATGTGGAGATCTTACAAAACAAAAATATTGACCGAGACTAAAGCTCAATAATGAGATTATCATCTGAAGAGCATCGGTTTCAGCCAGGCAATTTCTTTCGAGGGTATACAAGTCCATTAGCAAGAATTTCACTTTGATCCTGATGTAAATCTATTTCCCCTGATTTTAGTTCATTCTAAGACGTAATGCTTCCCAAAATCATTACTGATAAAAAGAAAAATTAAGCTTAACAATTCCACCAAATAGGCGGATCTGTTAGTTTTCCCACACACACACAAAAAACATGCTACTCAAGGTGAAAATTGCCTAATGACTCCTAAACTCACAGTTAACTGCAAAACCGCCTTTTATTGTAAAACCAAGGTTTATGCAGATAAGAGGAAATAATACCACTATTTTCTGGTTTCCAAATGATTAATAAGTCTAATCGCTTAGATGGGACGTATATTTGAAAAATAATATAATACTAAATATTACTCCCTCATCGTCTCGTGGAGGCGATCAGTTTCATACTAAAGCCTCTCACCGAAGAAAGCACGTCTAGTCCCACCTTTCCATCAGACTAATCTTTTCTTTTAAATCCACTCCACCAACGCTACAAGTGCGTCTCCAAACTACATCGTTGTGCTGATAACAATAAGCTTTCCTAGATATGGCTCTCTAGGGCCGCATGACTCGCTACATTTCTAACTGCCCACACCACTCCGCACCTCCAACCACTCTCGAACCTGAAATGGTTAAAAAAAAAAAAAATGCCATCTCTCTATATTCTTGCAGACTCTGGACCCGGTGGGGTATTTTAGACAAGCACGGCAGTAACTACACGCTAATAACCCCAGTACTGACACACGATTCCGATCCCTGGCCTAGGTAATCCTTAAATGATAGGCTGGTATATAATGCATACTCAAGATGGTGGCAAGGAACTGACCCGCTGTTGACCACCACAAAGGGCCGTGATAGTCTTTGTCCCTATATTAGTTTCTTATTTTTTCTCAGTGCATCCATCTCCAACCCCAAGCCCTCCCTTGCCTAGAGAATTACTCCGAGTGGCCTCGCGCTGGAACGTCGGAGACCTGCCTCCTCTATACCAGGATTCCAACGCAACCCTTCCCAAGACCTGCATTCGCCCACCCCCGGCATTGAACACACTCCCGAGACCCCGCCCCTGCTCCATCCCCTCGCGCCTCCAGCCCCGAAACCGAGGAAGGCAGGGGAAGGGAAGAGAAGGCGGGGGAGGGGAAGAAGAAAGGAGAACACTCTCGTGTCCACCTCGGGTGCGCAGGCCGAGTGGGGTCCGCGGGAAGCTAGCAAGTTCTCCCTACCCTCTCCCTTTCGCTGCCAAAAGGGCCCACTTGCACCCCCCATTCCCCGCATGCCAAGCTGCACTGCAAAGGGAGGGATCTCTTCCGGCCCCCGGCCCAGCCCGCAGTTTCGGGGGGCTCGGGGCGGTGGGGGACAGTTGTCTCACCTTGCGCTTGCGGGCCTCCGCTGTGCCGCTCCACACGAAGCACTGGTAGATGGCCCGCAGGTTCTGCTTCCAGTTGTCCACCTTAAAGCTGCTCAGGTGTGAACAACCCGGCGGCGTCACCACCAGCTCCGCATCCATGGCCTCGCTCTCCGGCTCAGGTCGGGAGACCATTGGAGGCAAGGCCCGGCCGCGCGCGGTGGGCGGCGAGGGGGACGAGGACGACGCCAGCGCGGCGCGGGGGCTGCTTGGCGGCGCTCCCCGGCCGGCCGAGGGACAGACGCAGGGACAAAGCGCGGGGAGAGGACAAAGATGGTGCTGCGCGGCCCGATGGGGGAGGTGTCGGCTAGCCAGACACCGCCCGCGCCGCACTCCCGAGTTCCCGAAGGGCGGGGCGGGGCGGGGCGCAGACGTCGCGGGCGGGGACTACGCAATCCCCCGCCGGCCGCAGGCGCCGCACTGCGCAGGCTCTAGCCGCGCTCAGGTCCCGCCCCGCCGTCCCTCCTCCTCCCGCGTCCGGGAAGCTGGCCGCTTGACGTTCCGGGACTCCCACAGAGAACTGGGGAGGTGGAGCCATGCAGAGGATTGGGTGAGACGGGATGTCCGTTAAGACCCTGTTCCGGTTTGCGCCAGCCTGAGCTGTGCCGCAAAGAGGTGGAGCAAAGAGCTGGGCTGTCCAAATCCTTGCGGTCTAGCTCAGCCTCGGTCTCCTAGGGTGATTTTCCAGCCAAAGCGGTACTTCTGTGATTCACTGTTAGTTTCGTTGACAGCAAAAGTCCTTTACCTGGGACTCTGCAGAGCTCTCCATCTTCGAAGCTATCTCAGACATTACAGTGCCTTCACCGTGGATTCTGGAACTGCCCACTACCTGCTTGGCGCTGCGAAGCAGGCTCGGGTCGCTCCCCACTAGGAACGCGCAGCTTAGTGAAGGTCTAATCTAGTGCTATTCAAAGAAATAGAATGCGAGCTGCATATCTAATTTTAAATTTTCTAATAGCTACGTTTTAAAAAATGAAAAACAAGCGAAATTGAGTAATAAACTTTAATTCAGTGTAGCCAATGTATCATTTCAACATGTAAGCAATGTTGCAAAATTACTAAATGAAATATTTTACAATTTTTAGACGAATTTTTCAAAATCTGGTATTTACACTCAGTACCACATCCAGTTCATACTAGCCATATTTCAAGTGCTATCGGCTACCATATTGGACAGCACTGGTCTAATCAGTATATAAATGACTGAACCAGGGCAGACTGTGAAAAGATCTTTAAAGACAAATGCAAACAATGTCCTGGGGAAGTAAAGGCCCAAAGGATCTGAGAAACTTGGAGGAGATGTGGTGCTACTCACCTATACGATAGCACTGCTAACTGCTTTGCTGCATTCAATTGCTCTTCAGACCAGTCTAAAGCTACCACAAGTTAAATAAATAGATAAATAAAATAACGACGTAGCAATTAAAGCTGGAGGATTTAATGGACTGAGAACTAGAATAAAGCATTTGTAGTTAGAACAAATTGTCAAGCACACTTTTGCCTAAGGCCTTGGTCCCCTCTACCTGCAATGTGTTCATCTACTTTTCCATCCACTTTTTCCATGCCTTATACTCCCTAACCACCTTAAAGGCTTTATTAGACACTAACTTCTCAGCGAAGACTTCCACTCTCTCAAATGCTCCATCCTCTAACCCTGTTTTATTTTTCCTCCAAAAAATTTATTTACGTGTTCGTTTTTTATTTATTCCCTCAGTAGCAAAAATCTCCATGAGGGTAATGATTTTTGTGTGTTTTATTTACTTTTATATCCCATAGTTCCCAGAGTAGTATTGGCTACATTCAGGTTCTCAAAATTACCTGTTGAATTAATTAACCCAAACAACTTCTATAGGAGAATCTAACCAGATCATTCTCAGAATAAAACACTGGTTAAATAAGGCAACCTATAGATATGTTAGAGGAATATCAGTTTACTAAAAAGTGAAATCATAGTCAATCAGGAATTACGAGTGAATTATGTGATTCACCTCTCTAAATATATGTAAGGAGATTCCAATATCACTGAGCTTAAAAATATGATTTGGTTTCAAGAATGTGTACTTGGAATTCAGGACACTATAATAACATTTTTTTTATCAGTATGTCTTCTAATCATGGAAGAATCCTTATGCTCTCTACTTGAGATAAAATAATTATTTAAAATGCTCCGTAATCAAAATAGCTTTACACATAAATAAATTAAAACAATACATTCTTCAGAAACAATTTCTAAAAGATGCATGGACAAAGCTGTTTAATATAGTATTATTTTGTGGGGGGGGGAGCTGAGAACACCTTAAACGACCATTAATAAAAAAATGGTTGAATTAACTACAGAATAGTCATTCTAGCAACTACTATGCAGTTGTTTTTTTTAAAAAAATGAAATAGATCTATAAGTATTAATATGTAAAGTTGATAAGACATAAATGATAAAACATTGCAGAAAAATACAGACAGTATTCTGACATTTAGGGAAAAACAATACTATATGTGGGTATATATTAAAGAACTAGAAAAAACAAATAGTTAACTTCTGGTAAAGGATAATGTAATCTATGTTTGAATTTTTTATAATGAGAATCATGTTATCTTTTACTTGAAAATCTTTTTTTTGTACTTGAAAACTTAAAAAGAAATGAAAAAATGTCATGATACAGGGGAGCATAAAGAAACTAAGGCCCAGAGGAAGACTTGCTCAAGTTCACACATTCACACTGTTCTGCAACATCTAGAAACCAGTCAGGGATCCAAAAATTCTATTTATTCATCTATCTAGAAAACAAGTTAGATTGCTAAATTAGAGTCCTGGCTCCACCACTGTCTGTGTAACTTTGAGCAGATTCTTTAATATTCTCAGTCTGTTTACTGCTTGTGATAATATCAGCTTCATGCTTACATTACAGGACTGTAGAAAGGAATAAATGAGATAAGAGCAAAGCTCTTAGCATATGGCAATCATTTATTAAAGACTCATGAAACATCAGCAATTATTAATGTGGTAATCATTGAGATGATTAAGACAACATCCCACTTTAAGAATCTCACAATCTAGCAGGATAAACAGCAATATTAACAGGCAATTATAGTTATATGAAAATGCAGTGATAAAACAAAGTCCAGGTAATATTAAAACACTCCAAGACACTTTTAACCCTAACCTCACCCAGGCAGCCACAGTGGAGAAGATCCAGAAATGTTTTCTATGTCTTACCTAAGTACAGAAGGATGGGCAGGAGTTTCCCAGTTTTTAAAAATAAGTGACATGGTGAGGGATCTACCTCAAAAAGGCATTTGCCATCATCCGTGGCACTAATGTGGCCTAAGATGTACTCTCTATACTTACTGTTACTTTTTTTCATTTCCAAAAAAATTTTTTTAACGCTGATGAAACTATCCTTCCGAGATAGCCAAGTAATATTCTAGACCTCCTCCCTCATAACAATCATGAACTCCAGACAATATAAAAACAAATCCCTAAAGGCACTGGAGACTGAAACAAAACAGGCAGATTTGGGAGGGAGTAGACACTTGGAAGGATCTGCCCCAAAGAAGTAACCTTTTTGTTTTTTATGGCTTATAGGACAGGCTATACTTGGAGGAGCTCAGACCAGATGCTGAAACTCTGATAGAAGTTGTTGGAATTGAAATACAGTGTCTGCAATAAAAAGGACACCAAGTGAGCTTAAGAGCAGAATAAAACTGACACAGGAAAGAGTCAGTAAATTTATAGATCAACTGAAGTTATCCAATTGGCAGAATAGAGAAAATATTTTGAAAAAAAAAATGAACAGAGCCTCAGAGACCTGTAGGACAACATCAGAAGTCCTGATGTATATATAATTTAAGTGTCAGAAGGAAAGATGAGAGAATTAGAGAATGAAAACCATATTTGAAGAAATAATGGCAGATATGTTCTAAAGTTTGGTGAAAGATGTAAGTGTACAGATTCAAAAATGCTGTTCAATCCCAAGTAGAATAAATGTGAAGAAAACATGCCTACACACAGCATAGTTTAACTACTAAAAACAAATAATAAAGAGTATGTATAGATGTGAACAAAACCAATTCCATCTGTGTCTCAGATTTCATTTCAGTTTTGTTTCATGCTATGATCTTTGAACAACTTCACTGTTCTTAGCAAGCATATAAAAGCTTTCTAGTTGATGACTATCTGTATTCCTTAAAATGTAGCCATAAATATTTTTGTTAGCAATAGCCAGAATGGCATGACAACCTAGATAAGTATCAAATTGAGAATAGTATCAATTATAAGCAATCATTTACCACAAGATCACCAAGAGATATGACCCTTGGCACTACTGCATCCTTTTTTCCATTGTCTTGAAATCATTAGTGCCTGAGTTATACTATTAAAAACTTACTGTAACAGAGGTCTGGTAGTGGAAAATAATTTGTGCAAAACTGCTCGGCTGTCTGTCCACTCTAGTCCAATCCTGTAAGTAAATTACCCTATAATAAATTCTGTTATATTCTATGAAATTGCCTGCTTCGTCTTTTGGTCTGAAGATACCTTATCATTACGGTGGCCATTACTCCTCTGCCCTACTGTGGGACAGAGTAAATCTTGATAGCAGCTAGAGAAAAGCAAGATATTATATACAGAGAAATATATATGTAAATTTATATCATAAACCATGGAAGTCAAAAGACATAGAACAATATCTTGGAAGTGTAAAAACATGAAAATATCCATCAATATTACAAGCTAAATAAATAGATTTTATATGAAAGAAATCTAAGATAATTTTTCTCCAGCAAATCTGTACTACAAGAAATGATAAAGGAGAGACAAGTCCAAGATGGCAGCATAAGAAGACACTGAGTTTGCCCCTTCCCAAGAACACGTTGAATGTACACCTATATTTAGAGCAATTCCACCTGAGAGAAAAACGCAAAGACAATTGAACATCTTCTGCATAACAAGAGAGAGACTGCATAGAGAAGGTTGGGGAAACTTGGAAGCTCTCTGGGAGCTGAGGAAATTGTCCAGGACCAGAGGAACTGGTGAGCACCATTGTTTACATCTCCCATGCAGTTGGATACCAGGCAGGAGCTCTATCCAGATTCTCTGGCTCACCTGGAGGGCTGTTGTAGCATATCCCCAGCCATATCTCCCCAAACTAGATCCAGCAAGAGCAGGAGGGCCCCTCTACCTGGAGATTGATCCAGCAGGTATGGCAGGGTGCTATGCATGTATGCTGGGGCTGTCTGGCTAGAAAGAGCACAGAGCTAGCAAAGCATTGAGGCACCCACATGCAAGGCTGCCCCCAGTGGAGTAAGCAGGGTGCTGTTTTGCACCCAAATGCTGGGCC